AAACAGATCACAACCACAAACTGAAGCATTAGCTATTAGTATCCGAAAGTGGGCCAGTGATACTTAAATGATACACTTATTGAAACTTAGTGCAAAGGACTCTCAATGAAGCTTTCCTTGCATTCCCAATTTTGCATGTGAGATGTGGCTAAACGTGGTGTAAATCCATTCTGGCTGGCAAGCCGATTGCTTTGAAAGGGAAGGAGGAGCAAGGGAAAAACCTCTGTACTGCTCCTTGTTACCAGTTCAACAAAATGTAAATATTTATTTCTAAAGTAATCGTGGAAGTGTTTTAAATTCTTTCTGGTCCCTTAATCCTGGGACTAGGGAAAAATACATTACTGACTGAAAGTCACAAACTTGGGCCAGACATCATAACTCAAGGATAGGATCCAAATATTGTCATTCTGCCCATCCTTTTGTCTATCAATGTTTCTATTTAAGGATTCCATAAAGCCCTGGAACGGCATAAAACAGTAAGCTCCAATCACCTGGTAAGAATTCTGCCGTATCAAACCCCTTCAACAATAGCTCCTATCAATCTCACCTATTCAGCCTCATAATTATGAGAATAAGAACAATGAAGCAACTGCCCTTGCTTCAAAAGCAATTCTTAACAGTATTAACAGGAGGTCTAAATACATAACAGCATACTATTATGTGCAAGTCTTCACTGAGCCTGCAGACCAAGGGGCAAATTCTAACAAGATTTGCACGTGCAAGTGCAGATTTATTCAGAGCTGACACTGCTCTACAGTCATTCATTATGCCCTGTAACTTTTCACGTACTTGCATTTCCTAAGTCTATTAGACACAGTGAGCTAAAACTGCATGTGTACGTGGGCAGTAAGCGATGATGTTACCCTGCAAAGACAGGGTAGAAGCAGGGTTCTGACCGTTTGCAGTTCAGATCCCCTCCGAACTCTGGGTTTACATCCTTGTTCTCCGAGCACACACAGTTCAGACAGCTTAATATCAACAGCATAAATTGCCTGCTATTTTGGTCAGTGAGAGCAGGAATTTGACTTCTCCCTATGTGAGATCCAGACTGCATGCCAGTAATAATGCCTAAGCATTAAGTCTAATAATGCATCTGAAAGATGGCTTTGGTTCTTAGATCACTTAAAAAGCTCACGTGCACCCCACTGCCAAAGAGCGCAAAAAAATTTGTGGCAAGAACTGGAAACTAGACCGGTCTGAGCAGAGACCAGAAATCTGTAAGAAATAAGGATAACGTAGTATTTACAGCTCCTTTTCCAAAAGCAAAAACAAACCTAGTCAGCTTATTTTTGTTGCTTTAGTCAAAAAGAGGGGGGAAAAAAAATCTGTTGAACTGTTCTTTCTTCAGCACTGTTGACAACTGCAGTACGCAAAAGGAGTTTATATTTAAACAAACTGAATCAGAGTTCACAGCACACATTGTCTGCTTCTTTCAGTATGAGGTAAGATTAACAGATTAACATAAGGCTAAACAAAAATATAACTTAAGGGTAGGAGGGAGAAAATTTAAAAGACTGATAGGAAAATGTTACATAAGTGTTGAGGCATGGAGTTCTTATACATGTATAAATAAATGTGAACTTGTATAACCAAATAAATGCAATGAAACACGGAACTTCTCCATGGATTTAAAGTCTTTTATCCATCTCCAATTTCAAAGTGATCAAATCACTCCCCCTAAGATAATCCATTTCTACTACTGATTACAAAATCACAGAAAACATATCTGATTGCAATCCTAAAAAAAAAAAAAAAAAAAAAATCACTTCATCCTTCACCCTAAAGGAAGGGCTACTTTTGTCATTTGCATAACCTAATACAAGTCTGAATACCCCATTTTAGTTGAAACAGAATTCAAGTGACCTTCTGCTCACAGCATGCAAACACCCAAATAAAACATAACAGCTAGGATCCACTTATCAAAAATGTCCGACTTGGCAGAGTCAAAAAACAAAAACAAAAACCTCCACTTTTATGTGACTGCATGTAAGGCTACAGTGTTAAAACAACTACATACAATATGCATGTGTCAACTGCTTACTGATGTATTTTCAGGTACTGGTATAACATAGCTATGCTAAAAAAAGAGACAGTATCAAAGCTGACTCACCTCCCACAACTTATGAGTTACTTGAGTCCAGAGAAATCATAACACATACTGTGAAGCTTACAAAAAATAATTTTTTCCATACTCTCAATTATAAACATATTTACATGCTAGACTGGAAATAAACTATTCCAGATTCTGTGGTTCAGCCATTAACATTTAGAAGAGCTAAAGAAGCAGTTATTAGTAGTCATATATGTGTACATATTACAGATTCCTCATTATTGAGGAACACAAAATAACACTTTTTTTTAAATCACATATAGACGGTGTTTACTAGTTTTCTATACTTCATTTTCAGATGTCCATCCTGAACTGGGAGATTGTCAGAGAGACTGACAACCCAATCAGCCTCAACTGCATCTGAATTCTGACTGTTCTCTCCAGAAAACTGGGCCAAATATCTTAAGTATTCAAACACTTGTGTGAGGAAGAGAAAGGGGGCAGGGGAGGAAGAGCCTCAGAAGCGTTTAGCCTCAGTAAGCTCTTCACCACTAGGCCCTTCTAGGAAAAAAAAAAAGTATCTAGAAGACAGTTCACATCTGACCTCCAACCACTGCTTGGTTTTCAGTCATGCCCCTCACCTATATCCTTAAATAACCAGTGTATTTGAGCCTTTCCTAACTATTTACAGATCATATGCTTTCTATTCAGTAAGACTCTGAATTAGGCTTCCACGTCACTGTAGTCCAAGGGGTTTTAGCCGTGCGACGTGCGAGCCTCTGCCTTTATCCTGGGAGCTTGGTCCTAAAGAGCAGCTTTCGGGGGAAGGCTCGTCTCCCGGCCGCGGCCAGGCGGGCCGCGAACGGCTCTCCAGGCTCAAGGCGCGCTGCCCAGGCGCGGAGGAGCGCGGAGGAGCGCGGCCCTTGCGCTCAAGGCATCGCCTTCAACTTTTATCCTCAAACGCCCCCAGACGTCTGTAAACAGTACGAGGCAGGCGGCCTGGGAGGAAGCAGCGCTCAACAAAAACAAAAGCGGTTCTGCCCGAGGAGCAACGCGCTCCGCGGACCCGGGGAGGGGGGGGG